CACCGCATAGTGCGGTTTAACGATATAACAAACCGCAAACCGCACCGCAAAAGTTCTAAACCGCATTATGCGGTGTGGTGTGGTGCGGTGCGGACGGTTTATGCGGTTTGGTGCACACCCCTAGCTATAATAACTTTTGAAGTTGTATTGATCTGTTAATTTGCATTATTTTATAGTAACTTTTTGTTTTGTTTAAAGTAGATTATGTTAATCAAAAAATATGTTTTTAATATAAAAACAAAAATGATATCTTATCTACGTTTACGTATTATTTGAGCTTTTCTATGTTTTATTTGCAAGCACACAAACAAACCAAACAAAATGGAAAATCTATTTCAATGTCTTGAATTTGGTTTTGAATGTGTTCATATCCGAGTGAAAAGGCAACGAGTGAAAAGGCAAGCTTAACCAGCTTCAATTTCCGGCTATGAATATTGACTTTTGTTTTAGTAATTTTATAGTTCGATTATTTTGAAAAACTAAGAATAGTATTTTGATATCGTAATCGTATATCTATAGTTTTGAAGATTTTGATTAAACAATATTTACAGCATTTAATCAACAACGTATATGATCAAATTAAAACAAAATATTTAAATACAAATTTTTTTTTGGGTAAAACCCAAACCCGACCTAATACCCGATTTACCCGTAACTGATTACCTGTATTTTTATTCACGTCGTTTATTAGATATTTTTATTTGGCAATACCTAATCCATCCGATCCGAACTTCCTAAAATCCGAAAGTTATACCCAATTAACACCCCTACACATTAGTATAAAGGTAGCACATCGGGATACGTGGCCCATCACGTGTGCTTGGCAATCGGGAAAACTTAACATACCCTTTTGTGCAAATGGCCAAATAGTTATAGGTGGTATTTGTTTTTTGTCCGCATATCTTCTTGCCCTCTTCTATCTGCGTCGCGCAGACCACGCGCAGACATTAACCTTTGCAGATTGTTTGTTTTTTTGAAGACTGCAGACCTAAAAATGTCTGCGCGCTCTCTTCTTGGCGCAAATGTGGACCAGAGTCTTCTAACATCTTTAGATAACTTCTAGCCTAAAAAAACACATATATCTTTATTTTTTTTTAGTTTTTTTGAATTTATATTTATTCCAACTTTATTAGTGATAAACAATTTGAAAAAAAAAATTACAATACTTAAAAAAACGTTTGATGACACAAACATGATATTTTTGACAAATTTATAAATAAAAAGTTATTACGATAATGTTCGTTGAAATTGTTTATATAAATATGAAAAAAAATCATAATATATTCTTATATGTTTTGTGCCAAATTTTATAAAACATTATTTAATACAGTATCGTCAATTTCTTGGAAAAATATTTATGGTACGTTTTTAATTGATTTAATTGAAAAAATCGAAGTTTATTTCCATCCATTTATGTATCAAATTCTTTGATTCCTAATTACAATGTTTAGGTATAACTTTACAACCAAAAGTGTTGGTTTTTATCAAATATATACGTTAATTTGTATATTTTTTTTTCACTTTTACACAATAATACATAAAATTTGATTTGGATTTGTTAATTATTTATAACACAGAGTCATAAAAATATTAAAAATCACTTTGTATAAAAAAATCAATTTATTTAGATTTTAGTTTATTTTAGTAACATGAAGATGTTAAAAAAAAACAAAAAATCTTCTTTTTTCAGACTGCAAACGTTTGGTCCATTTCTTCTGCTGCAGAGGTCAACAGATATAGTCCACAGATTGCAGATATTTTGGCTCAGAAAAAACAAACAACACCGTAGTTTGATATGTTCTCTAATCTGACATTTTCTTTTGATTTTTTGTAACTAAATAGATTCATTCTCTTAACACTTTTATATGAATGTCTTACTACTTATTTGGACAACGATTTCCAAATTAGGAATCCCGAATCTATCGCTATAGTGCTATGAAAAGGATTCCAAAGAAACCAATAAGAATCAAAGGTGTGGGGGAGGCTATTTCTAATAATGTAGTATAATGATTAATGGTGAGGTATAAATGGTCTCACCTATAATTTAACCCAACTAAAAATTCAACGAAAATATATGTTAAATGTTATTCGCATTTAACATGTGTTCTGAACCACTCTCTTTCTTTATTGCCACTTCCATTATGCAGGAACTCTCCATCGCCCCTTTCCCAGTTCTTCTTAGATGCCTCCTTCTACTTCTCTTTAATCCCCTCTCACACATGGAAGTTTCTTTGAAGAAAGCTTTGAACTTTGAGCTTTAGGGGCTTTCATAGTTGCTTTTCTTGTACATAATCCCCTATTATTCTTTGGTTCTTCAAATCTCCCTTTTCCACATCATGAATTCATCCATGGGCGTTAGACATCATCTTTGGAAAGCTGATCACAAGGTGTTTGATGATTTGTCTGAACCAGATTTACAAAATCATATTTTATTGTCTGCCAATTAACTACTACTACTTATTTTATTCATGAAGTTGACTTTCTTTCAGTCAACCGAGTCAACTGCTTCAACTCTCTATCAATATGCCTTTTTCTTTGATCTATCTAAAACTCCAAGAACTACCTTTCTCATGGTCTTGTATTCAATCACAGGGTGTGTGGAATTAGGGTATCTAGGATACATGGCGATGAATCAACTAAAGAGATTGTTAGTGGTGTTGGTTTTCTTTAACGGATGTTTCATCGAGGCACAAACCTCCCAAGCTCGGGTATGCAATTACTGCACTGTTATTACTGTTATTATTATTGTCGGTGCTTAATAGTTACATGTTATTACTATAATTATACTATTACTATTTGTTACTGTTATTGTTGATACTGCATTATATTTCAGGGATCGAATAAGCCTATGAAAACTAGTGTTCAGTCAAGACCATATGTTGTAAACATCGGGTCAATTTTGACTTTCGATTCGATGATAGGCAAAGTAGCAAAAACTGCATTAGAAGCTGCAGTAGAAGATGTGAATTCTGATCCAACGGTTCTTAATGGAACCAAGTTGAAACTAACCATTCATGATTCCAATTTCAGTGGCTTTTTGAGTATTATGGAGGGTATGTTAAATGTATATGTCTTCTAAACATTTTTCTCATATCTTTCAAACACAGATTCCCAAATTTCATTCCTTTTAATCCTTTTAAACAGCGTTACAATTCATGGAAAACGAAAGCGTCGCATTAATAGGTCCTGAATCTTCAGTCTTAGCTCATATGATCTCCCATGTCGTCTCCGAGCTTCAAGTCCCTCTGCTGTCCTTCACAGCCACCGACCCGACATTATCTTCGCTCGAATACCCGTTCTTTATCCGAACAACGAACAGCGATCTTTTCCAAATGGCTGCAATTGCTGACATAATCGACTACTACGAATGGCGTCAAATCGTTGTTATTTATATCGATGATGATCATGGGAGAAATGGAATAACTTCATTAGCCGATCAATTAGCAGGTAAGCGGTGTAAAATCTCGCACAAATCCCCCATTAAGAAATGGAATAACAAAGTTCTATTGTAAGAAATTATTTGGTTGAAGAACTTGGGATTTTGGAAAGTAGACTTGTTCCTCTTAACTTGCCTCAAGACTATGAAAAAGCCCTAAAAGATGGTCCTAACAATGGTGGTGTTGTTGCAGTTGTTGATGAACGTCCGTATATTGAACTTTTCCTTTCTACCCGTTGTCAATTCAGTATTGTTGGTCAAGAATTCACCAAAAATGGATGGGGATTTGTAAGTAAAATTACTTATTTTGTGTTTAATCTCCATAGTCAAACCAATGGGAGTTGACTTTTTTTTTTTTCAAATGAGTTCTTGTAGGCCTTCCCACGGGACTCTGAACTTGCGGTTGATATATCAACAGCCATCCTTAAACTATCAGAAAATGGAGAGTTAGAAAGGATCCATGACAAATGGCTATTAAGAAGTGCTTGTAGTTCACAAGGGTCAAAGTATTCAGTTGACCAGCTTGAAGTAAAGAGCTTCAAAGGCCTATTCTTTATTATTGGATTAGCTTGTTTACTTGCTCTTTTTATATACTTTGTACTCATCATACACCAATACACTAAACACAAACCCGACCCGTCCGAGTCAACCGGGAGTAGCCTCCGATCGGGACGCCTTCAAACTTTCATTTCATTTGTTGATGAAAAGGAAGAGTCGGTCAAAGCCCGGTCAATGAAAAGGGTCAAAGAGGCGAGTTCGTGTAGGAGTAATGGTGATGATGTGGCAGTGAATGGATATTGAAATACACTGAAAAGAATCGTGTTTGGATACACCGGAATACTTGTATTTATGCCATGTCAGCATGGAAGTTGTACAAATGATCAAAGTTAGTTAGATGTTTGGCATGTTATTGGTAGTTGTACATATTTTACTACTATAGAGATTACAAGATGTTGTATATGAGGATTATAGAACCTCACAATTGTAAAGTGAATGTAAAATAACATGGAAAGAGCATATATATTTATTATAATGGCTTGTCAATATTATTTTGAGAACATCTTTAACGTGAAATCCTTTACTAAATTTCTTGCCTTCTGATGTATCAGTGACATATAAACTTTCTATTGGTGTTTTTATTTATAAAATCTATCATCCCAAAACTTTATTTAATGTATTGACTTTTTCTAAAAGCCCTTTTTGCAATTTGTAAAGAAATTCTAAACATATAGTATACCATGAATTGGGTATTTGATAATAATATTTCGGCAAATAATTCTATAAAATATATGTATATATCTATTATAATCGGCCATTTCTTTTTGGCGACGTTCATTTGATATTTTTGAAACTTTTCAAATTTTTTTTTAACTTTTATATTGTTTTTTTTATTATTCTTATTCTAATGTTAATTATTCAATTGTCAAATATATTTGATTCATTAATTTAAATTGGATGTAAAACATTATATTTTAATGTTACCACTTAATAATTGTTAATATAATATATACCTAATCTGTTAATTTAAATATGGTGTTAAATTTAAAAAATATATCAAAAGGTCAAATGAAGTTGAAAACTGCCGTCTAAAGGCTATTATAGTTAACATTTTCCAATATAATGTCAAATGTACAACTTAAATTGAAATGTAAAGTTAACCAAAAATATGACCAAATGCAATTTTTTAAATAATAACTAAAATTTTCAAAATATGTAGTTTTTATTAAATAAATAATAATATATAAAACTAAAAAATATATGAACTTACTTTAAAAACAATAATTGATATTTAAAATAATAACCATTATCAAATTTAAAATATGGCTGAATAAATTATTTTTTAAATTAAATTAAAAGACGTATGTCTAAGTTAATTAACCATATGTTGAATTTAAATCATATATCAAATACAAATTAACAAATTCTTTTTGATGAAAGACTATTTTTGTATGATGATTTTTTTCGAAGAAGTAGTTTTTTAGTTAATTATAATAGTAGTTATAAAAAATATAAACTTAAACATATATTATGTTTGTCTGAAGAGAGTGGTAGCATGCTATCACATAGGATTTTTTAAAGTCACATAAGATTTTTTGAATCCACGCAGGATAAAGAAAATGGTAGCATCCAAATGATGTTTAATATCTTTTAGTTTGAAAAAAAAAAAAGGAAAAGAATCAACCAATCACAACCCTTTAACCCAACCCTCTGTCTCCTCTCGCTACACTGGTGGTGAGCCATGGTTGGCGAGCTCCCTAGCGCGCGCCAGAGGGTGGCATGAAATGCTCATAGCGCCTCCTAGCAAACCTTCCTTGGCGACCCACTCCCTTAAGCCTAATCATGAAAAAAAAAAGTTAAAAAACAAACTTCATAGCCATGGTTGGCGAGCTCCCTAGCGCGCGCCAGAGGGTGGCATGAAATGCTCATAGCGCCTCCTAGCAAACCTTCCTTGGCGACCCACTCCCTTAAGCCTAATCATGAAAAAAAAAAGTTAAAAAACAAACTTCATAAATGGTCCCTAGGATTTCCCATAATCTAGGCTTTAGTCTCAAACTTCTATTTTCCTTAAGGAGGGTCCATGTGCTTTCAATTTCTATCGTGATTGGTTGATCACCCATATCAAATTTTTTTGTCCTTAGTAATTTATTTGCTAATATTTCTATTATTTACTTATCATATTAAATTAAAAAATGATAATAATAAAGCCCACTCACCCCACTCCCACCCGATAGCTCATCCCATACTCACCCTTACCCCTTTATCCATCTCACCCTCTCACCATAAAACATAAAACCCATGACTTTAATCTCGTCGACTTCTTCAACACCATCGAAGACATAACCGTTTTCGGCACTACTCTACCACCTTTCTCTCTCCGCCACTTTCTCCACCATGTACGCCTTCAAACTCACAAACACACATGGCGTTTCTCCCCACTGATCATTAACTATCGCCATCACTTCCACCTCATTCACCGTCGAATGCTAATAATGGAAGAAGTCACATATCGATCGATTGCATGTGGTTGATTTCTTGTTTTCCGAAAGTGGTGGTTGAGTGTTAATGGCTGATCGAAGGACAGTAAACACGATCGGAGAAGGAAGTGTCATCGGAATCCCACCACCAACTATGAGTTCGCTATGGATCGGGAGCAACTTTGAGGTTGTTATTGAACTCCAGAAGTGATGTGATCCATCATCATTTCCCCTCGACGAAGCCCCCTTCCTCCAACTCCCCCTCCTTCCATCGCCATCTGTGATTTTTATTTTCAGATTGAGGATCTGGTTTATAGAATTCATTTTTTGGGCTTAATTTCTTCGATTTCTCAAAGGGATCTTCTAGTTTATGTGTTTTTCAAGTTTAATTTATTCAAAATTGAGTTGTGGAGATAAATGGATAGTTTTCTTTGTTTCTTTTCTTACTAATATGAGGAAGAAAGATGGAGATAAATGTCTTTTGATTTCCGGATAGATATATAATTCCGTTATATGGTTTTGGATGGTGGTAACAAGAAAATAAGTGAAAAATGGTGGAGTAGGGGTGTATGATATTGGAGGTCGTGGTGGTTGATGGTGTTGGATGGTGGTGGTAATACTACTAGATGTAAAGGGGGTTTTAGATTTAATAAGTTATTTGTTTCAAAATTATTATATATAATAAAAAGCAACTTGGTTAGAAATAATATACTAAATTTTTAGGTTTTAGAATTTGGCCACCAAAGTTTCTTATTTTAGAATTTGGTCAATAGTATATTTTGTGTGGTTTTAGAATTTGGCCAAAAAGGTTTGTTATTTTAGACTTTGGCAAGAAAAATTTCTTATGTTGGTACCTAGACGTTCATATTGTAACACCCCATTTTTACCTTTTATGTAGATTGTAATATAGAACGTTTGTTATAAATTCGAAAGATAAATATATTACTTATTAGCCTAAATAATCTATACAAAAGTTGTAGTAATTGTAATTCCGAGAGCGTGTATATAAAGAACGCCTAATTCTGAATTCGTATGAATAAGTTATGATTTTTTGAAGCTTCGATGTAGTAGTGTGTGATACAGAAATCCAAATCAAGATCGGTTGAGTGTTAGCCAAAATGAGGTAAACGAGTTTTTAAGATCTTGTAAATACGAATCCGTCGATATAAAGACTATCGAGAACGAAGATCGTATGAAGGAGTTTTGATTTGTACATAGATTTTAACAGTGTAAGTCCCTATAATAAAATGACTTTAAAAATAGAGTAAGAATTAGCCAACGAAGTGTAAATGAAAGTTTTAATACTCATTGATAGATACGCGTGGATATATAGAACATCTAAAACCGAGCTCGTATGAGAGAGATACGATTTTTAGAAAAATGAGAATTCGTATGCGCAACGCGCATAACTACTAGAAGGTGGGACGCAGACCATAGGGAAGAAGACACATGGCAGCCATCGAATGGATCAACGTAGACCGTAGGTGCGACGCGCCCATGCATAGAGCACGACGCCTCCATTATAAATTCTATAAATAGCTTGCAAACCTCCCTTCATTTCCCCACACAAAAAAATTCATACATATCTCTAGTTCTGAGTTTCTTGAGCTTTTGGGATTTTAGGAAGTTTCATTCTAGGAAGGTTTGGAAGCATCGAAGAGCCGGGGGGAAATAGAAGCGTTCGGGTCGAAGTCCTCCCTGCGATCTTCCCGGTTTTCGCTAAGAAATTCCTGTAAGTTAATATACACTTACTACGATTTAAGTGTAAGTTATATTTATATTCATAGTCATTATTATGAATGTATAAATAATATTAATTAGTGATTTTAGTCATAATAATGATTGATCTACTTACGGGAATGATGTCTATGTTAGATCTAGTGAGGTGTTTAAAGTGAGATTTTCAAACAGAATACTTTGTATACCAAAACGGACCCTACATCCGATATGAGCTTACCTGGTTGTTCCTTATTCGATAGATCTTTCGGTGCTCATTTGGATTAATGAAAGATCTAGCTTCTATTACTAGATTTCCACAGAGACTAATAAGTTATAGGATTATAGGTTGATACTTGTTAGGCACATTGCTCGCCAATTGGATTACCTAGATAGCTGTTAATCATATGAAAAATTATCCAAGTGATTTTTCTCATTATACTATATACTCCAGTATGTATCCTCTATATGTTAGGAAGTAGTTGCCCTGAAGTATGGAATTAGGAAATTAGACTACCTTAGTTAATTGCTTGTTGTGTGGGACTATTTGTCTGCTATATATGTGTTGATTGATTGTTTTATTAGGTTACAGAAAAATGCTCAATGCGGAAAATCACTTAACAATTAAGAAAGGGAACATGCAACCTAAAAGGATCTAAGTCTTAAACTTTGAAGGCAACATACTTTGAATAACAAAATCTAGCATAAACCCTAGTTAATTCGAAAATCATACAAGTGTTAGGGTTTACATACCTTAGAATTGTTATTGTAAACAATTCCTTGAATCCCTTCCTTTGTTTCTTTTGAAAGAAATCATCAAAAGAATGATACCTCTAATGGCTCACACCCAAAACCCTAGAAACCTTAGAATGAAGAGGATAGAGAGGAGAGGGATAGAAATTTCATTCCTAAGCTTTTAGGTAAAGGTATCCATGAAATTTGATACACAAGGGGTCCTATTTATAGTTTAGGTAACTTGAAGGTGTGAAGTCCAAAACAAAATTACATATGCAGAATAAGAATCAGATCATGAATCAATCACACAAATTGCAAGTAATCTAGTCAAGCTTTTGTATATTATTGATGAGAAAATGGAACATGTAAAGAGCCATGGGTTTTGCTCAACCTAACTGATATTGATACAAAAAGGGAATTTTTGGAAGCTTTTTTAACAAGCTAAGCTAAAGCTATATATAATGGTTAAATACATCACATGTTAAATAACTAAAGTGCACCACTAAGCATAAGATTCTTCATGAAAAGTCTTCAAACATAGCCTTCACAAATTAAATTGATTAAATAATAGATTTAATCCAAATTCAAATCCTTTCCTTATTAGTATCCAAGAGGC